AGTTTTCTTTGATCGTAACTAGTAGTGTATGCTAAGGCGGTGAAGGCTTATTGATTAGGCACCAACATAGTGATCGGTCACATAAAAAAAAAAAAGAATAAATCAGAAGGATGTTTATCACATGCATTACACAGGCAGACAGAGGGACAGGCCTATAGTTGCAAATGTCGACTTATCCGTAAATTGGATGTAAATGCTTTAGTTTGATAAAAAAATTTTTTTTTTTCCGAATCGATTCAAGCTTGTCTGTCTCACTGCCTTTCCTGTTTTCGTGTGCTCAATCTAGAAGTCGCAAGTTTTGGAATATTTTGATGAAATTTAGTACACAGACTTGTTTTAGTCCAAGGACCAAAGCATTTAAAAATGACTCGGATCGGACCACTATTTCGGCGGCTTCCCATACGACGCCTTATTTTCAAAAGACGTTACGTGAATAGCTGTAGGGTGTTTAATAATGGGCCGTGGCCCACGATAGTGCTTTTAGTTCTTTTTTAAATTGGTTTACTACATGAATATCAAAAAAAAAAAACTAATCCATACAAATAATTCTATATGCATTCGACATTTATTGTTAGTTTATTGGACCATGAATTGACAATTCCCTTATTTTAAAACTGAATTAGAATAGACGGATGTAATAAATGTAAGATTGGGCCTTTTAGTTATAAATGAATTTCATAATCTAAATATATAGGATTTTAATTAATATCGTTGTTGCAGGGCTTTTTTTTTGTAGGGACTACGCGAATTATTTTGAAAATCTTGATTTAAATTTAAGTAAGAAATAGTAGTTGAAGAGAAGAGATAAAGATTTTATATAAATATTGATTATTTTTTCTTTTTATCTGGAATTATTTGTAGTTGTAATGTGTGTGTAAAGGTGTATAATACAAAAAATACAATTACATTTATTTCATAGACATATTTATTTATATATATATTTTATTTATTATATATATATACATATATTTATATATACATCTATGCATTGAATACAGATTCTGTCCTTATTAATGTTTTGCATATATATATATATATATATATATATACATATATATGTATGTATATATTCATTTTTTATATATTTATTTATTTAAATTTAAAAACCATTTTAGTATTTCAATTAAAATTCGAAAATATATCTTAAAAATACTTAATAAATTTTTTATTTATAGTTAGATTTTTAGTTGATTTTGAGGGTTTTTAGTAAAGCTTACACCATTGTACCATTGGGCTGGGAGGATGTAAAAAGGTATTTATTTACAAAGAGAATCTAAGTCGATCTGAGCCAAATCTTTGAACACTCATCATTATCTTTCGGTGCGATATTTAAATGCTTAATAGAGCGAGGATTCATTCATCCGATATATTGATCGTATCTTATGATGTTCTATTAAATACTATCTAAATCGTATTATAAGATTTTGTAATACTTTCAACACAGTCACTAGGTGTGGCCATTTTATTTAATTTAGACGAAACTTTGGAAAAATTAGCTGATTTTTTAACCTGGCGCGCAGTTCTGAACTCAAAGTTCTAGAGTTTTGATGGTTGCATTTAAAGAAAGCAAAATATAATAGTCGTATTCGGCGAGGTCGTATCTTGCTTGCCCACCACTATGCTTTTCGCATTCTACTCTCCAAGTTCTTTTGTTCGATACCTTCATCGATAATATTATTAAGAAAATATTAGTCGCGGTATCTACCATATTTATTTTAAAATTAACCCATTTTTAGATCGATAATATAACGTCATTTGAGGAGTGTACAAAATACTTTTAAAGATTCTGCCTTGTTTGACTTATGATAAATGAGCATAAAACCTCAAAAAAGTGAAGAAAAAAATATTTAATTACTCGTATTTTTGTGTGGGCATTGCCGATTGGACCCAGAGATTAGAATGTTTCACAACATAAATATGGAAAATTTCAGACTTTAATACTTTAATAATTTTCGAGTAAAGAGCAAAAATGCAAAAATTTTTATAAAAAAACTGAGTTGCGTTCAGTTTACGTTCCAGCACGCGCTTCTGTTCCGGCCAATTTGGCCCATTTTCAATACCAACTTGCGTGCAGAAACTTTGAAGTCGCCAGGTTCATTTCTGCAATGAGGAGAATGCCAACGACACACACCACACAGACACACAGATGCACAGACACATAGGGGGACAGACATGACTAAATCAACTTAGAATTTCACGCTGATCGAAAATATATATGCTTTATAGGGGCTTCGGAGGCCTTCTCCCTGTATTGATTGCTTGTATTGATTAGCTTAATTGCTTGAGTTCTTGTTGGTAGCTTTCGGTAGAAATGGGTTCGTGTGTCTTGATCAAATCGTAACACGCTACGCTACCTGAGCGTGCCATGGGTATGCTACTTGTCGTTGACGTAATGACTTTCACAAGAGCTTTTTGCACTTCACATCTATAAATAAGACGTCGGCTTTATGTGACAGGTCGCAAATCAGCAGCGCTTTCTTAAAAATTAAGCAAGAAGTATAACGCTCATCGCTTCCCATAATATAACATGTACAGCTACATGCATCCTAATTATATTTTCTATGTGCAGTTGTGGAGGTAATAGCATTTTGTATTTTGCTTTTTGTGATTCTTATCACATCCATAACTTATTTCAAGTCAACGTCGATACAAACGAAAAGTCCACGTGAAGGGTTAATTAATTTAATCTCTTTCAAAAATTAATTAATAAGCCTTGTCAACTTTGAACAGTGAAACGTGTAGTTTTTTTTTTTATTATCTACATCAAGGATTATAAAGTAAATTGTACTTCATTGCCCGTTGCAAAATGTAAAATATGCAAAGGCGTTGCAACACCTGCGGCTGCGTAAGCATAATTTTCTATTTGTAGATATCGTTCTGCTGTAGATTTTATTACTAATTTAGTTGATTATAAATATAATTTATACTCTTTGAAGAAACATGTGCAAGTGCAGATGTCATCAAAGCCATAGAATGTCTTCTTAAGGGCAAAAGGGTAGGCCGACTGATAACTGCCACTTTAAATATTTGTTTGTCAGTTTGGCAACTTTTGCAGTCGTAACTTATGGTCTAACCGACAACGACGAAGGTTGCAAGTGCTACGTCTTTATAACACCTTTAAACATTTTTAGAAAACATAATATTTTAGAGTTTTTTGTGAAAATCGCACTTATTGAGATATGAACTCACTATAAACTTTCTTATTAAATGAATGAATGTAATTATGTCAAAAATTGTCCGCATCGCTTTTTCACTTATACGAAAGCTTTGCCAAAGTGGCGACCTAAAACTGAAGATGGCAGCACTTGTCCACAAAATTTGGGACATACTTTTGTGCATGCATTCATCCAGTCATTCAAAGGGGTCTGTGTAATTCGTCGCGGTGCAGTTTTGGGCAGTGACTCTACCTAAGTATAAGGCTTATCTCTTATCGTATATGCATAATAATAAGAGCGGCCAAGAAGAGTAAATCACCGAAGGATGCTGCACGACCTTTGACAGCTAAGAGCGTCTTTAAACACGTCCAGAGAACATCTTTCTTCACATGGGTGTCACATTTGCTCACACCGAAATAAAAACCGTTTCGAAAAAAAAGTTGCTTCCTGGGCGGGATAGCCATGAGGTTATCTTGACCAATTATCTTGAAAAATGGGAAACCCTTGCATTTAACGTATTGTGCATTATTTACACTTGCTTAGGCAGTTAAAGGTGGCTCATACTTTTGCCGTTGACATGTCGGAACGTTCGATTTTCAGGGCTTGCTTATGTTGACTACCCTTGTTGTTTAACAAATCTAGCCGCAAGTAATCGCTTTTTATTCCCTAAACCTAAAAATTGCATTCGAACAATGCAGAGACTTTCATCCGGTGATAATTTTTTGGCAGGGAACTCACCTCGAGCACTGGCTGGGAAAATTATGTACTTGAAATAAATTCGAAGTAAGATGACTTTGTTGTTCAGGCAAGAAAATTTTTTGTGTATAAATATATAAAGAAATATTTAAAATAAATAATTTCAACTAAGCCTTTTTATACCCCATTTGCGATTCAAAGGTATATTAAGTTTGCACTCATTTTTGTTATTATACTCGTCGATTAAGAAGGTGGTGGTTGTCTGTCGCGGCTGTACGTCTGATTTTCTCTTGTCCGACATACAGGCCGCAAATTTGTGAGATATTTCGATTTAGAATTCGGATCTGTTTGAGCCTAAGGCCGGACGCTGTTGAAAATAGTCCTGATTCGATCATTTTTTCGACCCGTTTCAATATAACGCTTTATTTCAAAAATTTCTTGTATGAACGGGGTGGTGTTGCGCATTCAACGGTCCTGGCCTACTACAGTTTTATCGTCGCTAACCGCTGCTTTGCTTATTGGAGTTTGGATACGGATGACTAGATGGTTAAACTCATTTTTATTTCTTCTTCACTTTCGATATTGTGATTCCATTGCTAAGTGTTTTCAAAACAATTTTCTGTTGTATTTACGAACATATCTAATTCGGACAAGAAAATGGAAAAAAATAAAGTTTATCTTTATCTATCGATAATATTATCGAATCAATACTCACTAATACTCCAGCAGCTTACTAATTTCGCTCTATTAGCTTAAGAAGCGGAACTTTATATGTGACTTAGAGAGGGAAATTTTCTACATGGGCGTAGGCATTAAAACGCCGAGCTTCGATTGACTACAACTTAATTGCCTGTAGGCTATTATTTATAATATTTATTGCTTTTCAGATTCAACGCGACTATCTTTTATCCCTAAGCATTCATTAGATTTAGATTAGATTTAGTGGTTGGGCGTTGTTGATCTTTTTGCAAACGTGTCTATCTACAGTGATTTAGAACGAACAGAGTGTCCCTTACTTGCTAATACCATTGATATGCTTCTTCTTATATATATATATATGTTGGCCCAATTATTTTCTTTTTTTTCGTTTTGTTTTTCTTAAATAACTTTTCAATATAATTGTGCAACTGCCTCGCATTAATTATATCTACACTTAAGGATATTACAAAATAATTTTACTTAAAATATATAAATATTTATAAGTTTGCTTTTGTTTCTTTCTTTTTTAACATATTAAAGCTTCTTTGTTTAGAGTTTCTTTGTAAGTTTTAATTTATTTGTTTTTTTTTTTTTCATTTTAGAAACCGAAACATTTACTTAAAATTTTGGCCAAGTATAGCTTTTAGAGACATTGAAGAAGATCAGGTAATTCAAGATATATAGAATATTATAGAAGTATTTTGAAAATATATATTTCCATACCTCTTTGTGCTGCTTCGCTTAAAAAATGGTGGAGATGGTGGTTATGATGGTTGGTTGATGGTCTGTGGTTGAATCTTAAATAAATGTTTCGGCAACCATTTGTTACAAATATTCGGGCGGTGGTGGTTTTTCATCGGGTGGCGATGGACCCGACACCGAAACCATTGGTAAATTGCTGATCTTCGGCGTTAAGCATTTCAATTTTATCGCTTTTGGACTATTGTCTTGTGCTTGGAGTTGAGGAGTTAGGGCCGGTGATGCTGTAGATGAACGCTGTTGTATTAAGATAGGTGATCGACAGATATTGTTATTATTAGTTAACGGGTTAATATTATTATAATTGCTGTTTTTTGCATTCATGGTAGTATTATCTATAGGTGTGAGGACTAACTCTTCGACCGTATCAGCCGAATCATGGAAAGTCGAATTTATTGACGCTGTATTAGCTAAGCTTATCGAAGGAGCTATTGTTGTTACATTGTCACGTTGTTCATGTTGTTGCGGTTGCTGCTGTTGCTGTTGTCGTTGTTGCTGCTGCTGCTGCTGTTTCTGTTGTTGTCTCTCCATGTCTCTAATATGTGGTGGTGGGGTTTCTATAGATATGCTACCCACGATGCGATTGGAGGTGGTTACAGCAGCGGAATGACCCAACACTGTAGTGGCAGCCAGTAATTTTTCGACATTATTCTTTAATGCCGCTATCGGATGGTTTTCAACACTCTTTGAACACTCTTGCAATTCTATAGAATACTCATTTTGACCATCGGAATCATTGCCGACATCATTGTTATCGTCAGTCTGCCATTGACGTTTTTCCGAAAAACTTTTCTGTTTAAGAAAAACGAATGTATGTACTTAACGATAGTAAAAAAAAAAATCATGTTTATATGATTTTCCTTTAGAAGCAGAGTGAGTGAGGAGGAAGTATAGCAACAGATATAGTACTTGATTCTTTATCAATTGAAAATGCCGAATGAAAACTAAGTTTAAAGTTTTTTTCTCTAGAGAATGTGGTTTAGAGATATTTAATCTAAAGCTTTACTAAAAGCGTGGTAGTAATTTTTTATATTCAGAAGTTGTTAATGATAAATAGAAATTTTTTATATATATGAACGATATTTTCTTTCGACTTTAAAAACATTTATTAACAGCGAGCGAGTGAGGAGTGTGGGTAAACGTTTTCCGAAGTTTGATTTGACTATAAATCGGTTTTAACAGTCTTTTACAAGAATATTATGAAAGGGTGTAAAAACATTTAAGAGCCGTTTTTTTGATGAGAAGAATTTACCTAACGGGCAAAAGTCTCTAAAAGTTCCATTCTACAGGTTTTCTATCTCTAAGTAAATAAATTATGTTTATGAAATTAAATGGAGCTAAAATATTTTAAACTTACGAAAACTATAAACCTTTTCCCAAATTTTTTTCAAGGTTTTCGAGACTGCGATTAACCTGAAATGTTCAATTTTCAAACGATTTTCATTGTTTAAGCAGCTTTAAGGTGGGAGGAGCTGGTCCGAGCGGGAGCAATTTTTAAGAGACCATTATAAATATTTTGTATTCGTCTCCCTGAATCAATGCGGAATGAGAATTGTTTTTGTAAAGTGCGACCAGTTTCCTAGACTTGGGTTTTTACGCCCACTTACTTATACTTTTGGTTTCTGTAGCTATTCCTATTTACTAAGAATATTAGCCACCTTTCTTTTACAGTTTCTAATCTTATGTTAGGCTTTGAGAAGCCAAGAATCTTCGACATTTTACATATTTACGTTTACTCTTCGGGAAGTGATTCTCGTGCCATTTTTGATAATCTTTTAAAAGATCAAAAACTACGATGCTTTAAAGCTGTGTTTTTTATTGAATGGAGGTCTACAGCTTTATTCTCTATGTATGATGGGCATACAAATGTTAGATAACAGTTTGCAAGGGTACTTCAAATAATATATTCCTCGTCTTGTGAGAATGTGAGAAGAGACGATAGTTTATGCAAAGTTATTTTTTATTTTTGTTACACACTTAATGCTAATCAAGTGAAGTATGAATGCGAAGATTTATATAGGAAAGCGTGAAGATTTATGAGAAGAAGAAATTTCTCGAATTTTTAATGAAAACAGAATACAATATTGCTTTCATAATACAATCATATGTACCATTAAGAAATATATGTAACTTACCTTTCTACCATTATCCGTAATATTTTCAGCACTTTTTGCCTTCCGACATAATACACTTTGCGAGCCATGCCTACGCAAAAATTCTATTGAATCAAAACCCCTACCTTCAGATGAGACAAATATTGCTGAATTAATGCGACTGCGTGTGATACGCTCAGATATGGAGGCTGAATGCTCCTCCGGAAAAAAGTGGAAGTGCTGAAATCAAGAATAAGAAAAACCCGCACAAGAGAAGAAAGAGCGCACAAAAACGAGAACGGGAGCGCACGCGTAAAAGTGAAGAAAAATAAAGAAAGAAAGAAAGAAAAGAGAACAAGAGAAATGCAAAACATACAATTTTAAAATATCACCAACTGTTTATGTCACTTATGTGCACGCTTTTAAATGAAGCAGCTAAAAAAGAACATTTAAAATGCTTACACGACTACTACTACAGTGTAGTGGTTGATAGGCGGCGAGTGCTCCGCATTCGCTACTATCGAACTGAATTTGTCACACAGCCAACCAACATAATGTGGAATTGACACACACAATAGGTATGAAAAATACGAAAAAACAAAAGATACGGTAAAGAAATTGAAATACACGTTAAACTTTATGTCTTGAAGCTAAGATAATAATAACAATACATTGTGATGGAGTTTGCCGTGTGTGAGTATGTGGAGAGAGGCTGGATACAAAGAGAGAGATAGAGATAGAGATAGAGAGAGAGAGAGAGAGAGAGAGAGAGAGAGTGAGAGAGAGAGAGAGAGACTATAGAATGATATTTACAAACAAGAATCTTTCAATGGTGATTATAGATTACGGGGAGAGAAACAGAAAGTTAGGGAGAAAGGGAGAGAGCAAAAGCGAGAGATTGGTGAAGGGAAGAGAGTTTTATTAGAAAAACAAGCGAAAAAGCAATTCATGATTCTTATAGAACATTGCTTTAATTTCTAATATAAAGCAATTTGCCGGTACAAGGGAAGAATAGTACGGAAATCGATCTTCACATCAATTTTTAAAATCCTTTTTATGGTCTTAAGCCTTTAAAAAATATTTCGCCCAAAAACCTTACTACTTGAAATTGAGGCGACTATGAAGTCATTTAACCTTTTAATCTATTCCCTAAACGGTAAGCAACATGAACTTTGAAAAATATAAACAAAAGAACACACAAATAATAAAAACTTTTAAAAACTGGAAACGATAGAAATTGTAACTTAACCGAAGGAAAAAAGGGGATGCGCGTAATGACGGGTGGGCAAGCAGAAAAGCAGAAATAGAGATCAACCAAATAAAAGGCAAACAGAATAAAATTAAAAGAGAGATAGAAGAAAAGAAAGAACATGAGAAGGAAAAGCTATACCAGAACAAAAGCAATCAGTGAATCAAAGCTGTAGCGCTTTGGTGGATTTATTGGATTCGAGTATGTCGCTCCTTTTTTTTTCATATCGTAATCGACACTGTGTCAACTTAATTGATTGATTGATCTGATGGATGATTGCTTGGCTTTGCTAAGTGTTTGTTAACAAAGCAAACTGTGAAAAGAATAAAGCACAACAACAACAAAAAAAAAAAAGAAAAAACGAAAGGCAAGAAAAAATTGTAAATATTTTGAGCGAAATGTTAAGTCAAATTTCAAGTCGAATTTCTTTGTGCCAATTGCTTGACTTGGCCAAAATGCTGTTGAATTTGGTTCGTTGATGAAATATGATAAGGTGGGGCGGATGATTGGAATGCCAATAACTATGCAGGTATGCGAATAGACAGACAACAACAACAAATCAAAGACGATGAATTTTATATAAAACTTAATTTACGAGTATTTCCAGTGTTTGTTTGTTTTTCTGAATTGGCGAAAGTGATAGTGCTTTTTTTTGTTTTTGAAATGTTTTTGTTTGTGGTAATAGTGGTGGTCTTGTGCTCTGCTGTACATAATTCGGTGATAATGGGTGGATGGGTGCTATAATCCAATCACCAACCACTACAATAAAATTCTTTAACTTATTTATTTAGTTTATGACGTAACTGATATACTTCAATGTGACGTTAGGTAGAAAAACGTGAAACTTACGCTGTGTCGTTCGGTCGTGAGATTTGTATGATTGAGTGTAGTGGAATCGGTACGTATAGTATCACTAGCTGCCATACTGTGGCATTTGGGGAGATGATAAGAATCTTTGCTATCGTGCGAATCGTCGCGACTACGTTCAGCATAGGAAAATTGTCGTCGATATAGGCGACGCCGTCTAAAAGCATTCGGATTCGTGCTACTCAAGCTGTTCAAATAATTCGGGCATATGGTCTTATGCAGGGGAAGTAATGATGTTGGTGCTGGTGGTAAGGGCCTATGATAACAATAATCATAACTAAATTGACGACGTCTCCATTGTTCATATTGACGATAATGACTGAAGAGACGTCTACGCCTTAAAATAAGTTGTTTTTTAGCTTCGAACAAATCGTCTCCTTCATTGGCAGCATTATCCTGAGAATTTTTCAAAATACTACGCTGAGCAGCATAACTTTTTTGACGCAATTGCCGATGAAAATCGCATTTTTCCTTTTGGGTATGTACTGGCCGACAGTGATGCTCGCAATGATGTTTAACGTCACAGTCTAATAAGCTTTCACGTTCTTCAACTTCTAAAGTAGGCTCGGATAAAGTCATATGACTATTGCTTCTCATATCCCGAAAGTCATGTTCATCGACACCGCTGTACGTAGTTCTGCGTATACCGCTGCCGCCACTGACGGGACTTTCAATGCTCTCTACGCGTTTATAACTCTCTGATGATGTATTACCACCATCGACGCGAGTTGGTTGCTAGCTTTCTACGTCGGCGCGATGTAGCAAAGCAAACTGACAGCCGCAATCACGTTCCAATTCGCGGCGCGGATATTGAAAGCACCGATCAAATATACCACAGCCTTCACACCGTGGTAAACACTAAATAATCCAACAGCACATAATTGTTAAGCATTAAGTTTCAAGTAACGGTCATTATTAAAAAAAGAGTAAAGAAAATTTCTAAAAAAAAAATTATTTCACTAAAGTGATAGAACGTAACCGGATTACTCAGGCAGGACAACAACACAAAAGCTTTCAAAGCAAAATTTCGATAAATACTTCTTAATTTTCTTTTTTTTCATTCTTCTTTTCGATATCAATTCCTACAAGAAAATATACATAGAAAAATCAATGCATAGCAGAAGACAGAAATAGAAAGAATGTATATGGAGAGAGAGAGAGAGAGAGAGAGAGAGAGAGTAAAAGAGAGATAGCAAAAAGGAAAAAACGAAGTAAGCTCACATGCCTGTAGATTGAAAAAAAAGAAGTAAATAAATCTGGATTGTGAACAGAGCATCTATCTGGGGGGCACAGCTCATTACGCAGGCTGTGATTTTTGAAAAAGTTAACCAAAACATCATTTTCATCAATTCATGCAGTTTTTGTTGTTGTGCGATTTGCTTGAAATCTCACGATACCTCCTAATTACATACAATTACAATTACAAGTACAAGCAAAATGTTATAGTTCTTAACTAAGCCTTTAGAGGTCTTTCACTTGTCCTATACTTGTTGTTTTCATGTCGTCGATTGTTATTGTGGCAAGAGCTACTCTGAACAGTTCAGTAAAATTAAGCAAAATAAAAACAGGGGAAAATTCTTTATATAACAAAAATTGTTTTAATTAATAATCTAAATGGGGTTTTAATTAATGACCATTTCAATCAATTACGAAAGCATTCCAAAATTATTTTCTAAAAATGCAAGAAATTAAATATATTTTAATATATGTCATTACAATTAATTCTATTTGGGACTTGGGTAGGTAAGGCGTGTTCATTGCAAAGAAAGAAAATCGCAAAATGAAGATGTAATAATTGATTCAAGGAAAAAGTTCGTGGTATTTTGCTGTTGCAATATAAAGCATAATTAACTTAAGGCCATGTTTGTTTGCGTGGAACTGCTACGAATACTTTAAGCGAAAACTTTGTCTCGAAATATGCAAAGGAATGCATTCAAACTTTGTGTTGTTTAAAAGCCTGAAAAGTGTTTTATTTCTCAGTTAAAGTAAGCGAGAAAATCGTTGTACCCATCGTGGGAAAATATTAATTTCCTCATCTCATAGGTAACAACCAAAAACAAACGATGAGGACTTTGAACTTTTGGTTAAGATGACGATCGCATAAAGCTCTGCCGCGTTTAATCACAGCTTTCAATCCCATATTCCTAGAAGCGCACCCTACTATTCGACGCAGTCGAAACGCATAATCTCATAATCGATCGTGTACCCCTTTGCAAGTGATTTTCTCCGACGCAAATTTAGAAGACATATATATTTGCGAACATCTTAGACTAGCGGATGTGCAGTAGAATGTTCCGATCAACCCCAAGCCGCGATCATGCAACACACGAGCATGATTGATTTCATTGAAGTTCGTGTCTGGTTTGCTAATGAAATCATTACGTGTTGCTTGCAACCGAACCTAGGTTTCAAACCGGTCGACTAGCTATACTAATCAAGCTATCGTTTTTATTTTTACTCGACATAGAAAAGTGTCATCCACGTGTCCGCCATAAACCACATCATGAAGCCAGACCAGACAGACCAGAAATTGTGAACTACGGATACTTTAAACTTCTTAATATCGTGGATAGATACATTAATACATCAACCACGAATGGAGATTAAGGTCGCTCACTAACTATGTTGCCTTAGAACATAGACTATTTTATTGAAGATCGCATCTGCAATATTCGCCAAATGCGAGATACTATCGATCTGAAGTTTCGACGGGAATAACCAAAGTTTATATCCGTCTTTATTGGGACCATCCTTTGCCAGTCACGAACCAAGAAGTATGCTGGTTTTTTTTTTTTCGCGTAAACCACTCCACGTTCAATCTCTTCATCCCGTCTATTCAGAAAATATGAATCAATAGTAGACAATAAATTATGCTGCACTCGCCCATAAATCCGATACTTGATCGCAAACTGATAACAAGATAATTTAAATTTCGAACGTTGTAGAATTTCCATCGCGTGAGGGTGATATAATGGATTATATGTCTGCCGCAAACAAACTAGAGAAACACATCCCGACAGATATCATGCTTTTTTAATGGCGGTCTATAGCACCTTATACGATACGATAGACCTTAAAGGCCATCCTTCGAGATCTTCTGGCAACTAAGACTTGCTTATCTAAAAGTGTGCTTTAGTCTAAGTTAATGCCTTGCCTTGTCTTACGTCCATCTTAACGCATTTAATAAGAGTGCAAGCCTTCCCAATCTTCGTGTGAGTATAGTAAGTTTTACGGGCAACTCGATACGAAGGAAGGTGCCACTTATGCCATATACAATATTTATAAGTGTTCTATAGACATTTCATATTTTCCGCTTTATCCCAGAGATGATCATTATTATCACGTGTCTAGTAAGATTGTAAGCTTTCAAGCGTAAAATACGTGCTGACAACTAAATTCCCAAAGGCTTAGTTTTAGTTGGTTGTTTAAGACTTTGTTTTTGGTTTTCGGTTTCTGGGTTTCCATATCCGATTTGTATTTGTATTTTATATGTATATATATATATATAAACACTCCGTTCGCATGCATTAGACGCACAAGCAAAAAACTATTGTATGTATGTGTTAAACTCTCAGAAATTGATTGAGAGACATAAGCCATCGCTTGCCAAATTCATAAATAAGAAAAAAAAAAAAAAAAATGTTCTAAAAATCTATTGAACAATATTTCCGAAAAAAGAAGGAAAGACTTAAAAAAAGTAAATGAAGCGAAATCGGGAGAAAAAGCAAAAGAAAATGTTATGAGAAAAAATTCGATACCTTAACGAACATATCGTGATGTAAATTCTAGAGGAAAAAGAACAACAAGAACAAGAAGAAATAAGTTTCAATTGCATTTAGGTGAGGGGATAGAAAAAGAAAAAAGAAATTAGAGTGTGAAAGAAACGGTATAATTTTAATATCCTCCCAATTTGATTAACGTTTATCGCCCAACACACATAACGTCATTTGAATTTTTCGACATGAGCGGATGTAAAGTTTGTTAAGATATCCCAACATTTTTGGAGTAAATTTATAAGAGTAAATGTGTTGTGCATGTTTGTGTTGATATGAACTGTTAATGTATTGAAAGAAAATTATAACTGAAACTTTTCGAAACTCATGGAAGCGTTTTATTTGTTTGTTCATATAACCTGTCGAAAGTAGGCCAATTATTCTTAATAACGTTGCAAGAGTGTCATTAATGAAAGACAAAAAAAAAAAAACGATTCCTTTAACAAATAAAAATGAGAATTAATTATTTGGAAAATGCCCCAGTAATTAGTAAAGCGTAGAAGCTTTAATTACATCCACCGCCAGAAAATAGTTTATTAAAAATGTATTATTTACTTTTTATAAAGCACACAAGGTGTGCATGTCTTTCTGTATTGTATATACGCGTATATATATAAGTATGCATGTCCGTATGTTTGGATGTATGTATATATGTATGCATGTGTTTATATTTATATGTGTCAAAATAGATGCAGGTAACATATTAGGGCCGGGCCATTAACCTGCACCTTTTCGCCTAATACCATGCTTCACCTGACTGGATATATATAGAAAATTATACTTTGAAAGGCGTGACACATAAAGAAGTGTCCTTCCTGAGAACCTCACGCAATTAACAGGAGCCGCATTTTAAAAACTTTCCATGGACGAAATAAATGGAGTCTAATGTATGTGTAAATGAGCCTTGCTTTAGATAAGGTAATGCCATTGTCACATAAGATCAATTCATTGCCTAATAATAAATGTTTTTACATAATAAAGTTGACGTTAATTGGGGATAAGAACTTGTTTTCGTTACGAATGCTTAAGCAGTTCGTTGGGTAATTTAATTTTAAAAGCCCTTCAATTCTGAGTTTACTTGCTGGCAGGCAGGCTTACTCGCGCTATACAGAAGACATATTACTAAATGGCATTTATATTACGTTTTATTGAAGCCTTGAGTATTTGCATCGAGCGGTACTTTGTTTTATTTCACTCTTCTATTTATTTTTTCATCTACTTTTTCATGCGTCAGGCAAAGTTAACTGGTTACCGCAGTTCCTGCCGTTTGGGCTATGAGTTCGTGCTACGTGTACCGTGCTCGCAACACGACAGCATATCCAATCATCTTTAATATACACTCTCTTTTTAAGCGTATAAAGGCAAACGTATTTTCGTCGCAATCATTTAAAAAAGAAATCATTTTATAAATATTGGAAATTTTATTAATGATCATTTAATTTAGGCTTATATGGGGGTATTTTAGCTTCGGATACGTTATGTATACGTTAAATGTAATATTCCAATAAGTTTTCAATATTCATTTTCATGCCCTACACCAGTTGCGGTACAAGGACATATGAAGTTTGTGCGCAAGGACAGCAGATAGAGCTTCTTTCTACTGATCGATCGCTTTCTGAACAGAGCTGTTTGACGACGCGTCTAGGCATCCGGTCGTCTGTCTTGTTTTTTGCCTTCAAGCTACGAGTTGCAATTTTTGAGATATTTGCACTGGCACGCTTTGGCCCAGAAGGCTCTTGAAAATTGTTCAGATCAGACCATTATTTCGAACCCTTCCAATATAAAGTTTTATTTTGAAAAGTCCTTTTGTGAATAATTCTATTAAGCGAAATGCTGTAAGGAATTAATGGTTTTACAATAAGTTTAATAAGTTAAATATTTAATCCCGCTAAGCACTTTTTATAATAAAAAGATTACAAAATAAAAAGTAATTCATTAACATATAATACAACAACAATTTATTTTTAGATTCTTGTATTTTAATTTGAAAAATTGGCTTACGTAGATGCCGTAAAGAGATGTTAAAGGAAAATGACATTGAAATCGTTGAACGCAGTAGAGAATGTGTTAAAAACAGTTTACGTCGACAATTCACACCCACCAGGTGGTGTTGGAATTCACAATCAATATGATTATTTGACGGTTTTTGAGTTCGCGCTTGTCGCGGTGACGGCCGTCATAATGTCAATGATATATCGTACCTCTACCGTAAAAAACTAGTCTACGTGCTTCATTTGGAGCTAGAGAAACGAAAAAACCTATACTTGCCGTTACTAATCTTAAAGAAGCACGACCAGAGCGTCCTCCACAAAGAGGTTATGCCCTTAGTTTAGCAGTTCGCGTCATGATAACCGTCGGATTAAATAGGAAAAAGAGGACTTGAGGCCGTGAGAGCGTTTCTTATTTTGTGCAAAGATCTCTATTTATTCAAAATTTCCAAAAGCTATGTTTTATACAATAAAGCCAAGATGAGAACTTAGACCTAAACTTGATGATTTGGCATAACGTGGAATAGGGTCCCATGCGTTCTAATACCAATAATGCTCTCCATTGTAAATTGCTTGAAATTGTTTATTTGTTATATTTCCTTAATATTCTCCTAATTTTCAAATTGCATTATTTTTTAAAGCTCTTGGAAATTTTAAAAACATTGCATTTTAATTTTTACCGACTTTTTTAAAATGTTCTGCATGAAATCTTTCATACGAGAATAAGAAAGAAGACAATGAAAAAAGGGGAAGAGAAGAGAAAGACATTATGGAATTTTTTTCCCCTTTTTAATATGCTTGCTCCAAGCATGTTTGTGTAATGTGAGTGATTGTGCTCGTACTATCCCCGAGGAAATTCTCTGAGGATCTACTCTAAAGGTCTTGTTCATTTCATCGTTTTATTATTATTATTGCTTTTTGTCCTTCTATTTTGTTACAGGTTTTTTTTTTGTTTTGTTTTGCTCAAATGTAGTTGATTTTCTAAACTCTATTTTTTCTTTTGCCAGGTGTGTGAGTGTGTACGTGTGTTTCAAAAAGAATAATAAATGTATGCATATTTTGTATATTTATGTAACATGAATATATATATGTACCTGATGCGAATGCTGACCGTTACAAACTCCGCCACTGCATACACCAGTGCCGGGAACTTTGAGTTGCTCATGCTTATAGTCAGGCTGATAGGGTAACAGCATGCGTATTTTGCCCCAACGATTAAAGAATAATGCAATCGCTCCTGCCCACACCATCAATACTATAAGAACGATGCCAATCTCAACGCCACGTATCTGTAATAAATTTCGCAAAAAAACAGTAGAAAACCAAATAAAACAAAAGAAAAAAAAAAAAACGTAGGAAATAAGTTCAATACTTTTTCTCCACAGTAGAAAAGAAAAGAAAAATAAGACAATAAGTGCAACTTGTTCTTCTTGTTGCAATGATGAATAACTAGCGATATTGCTATTGAAGAACAATAGTAAAACAAATCAGTTTATCGAGACATTTAAGTTGACATTAAACGGGTTCAGGTTGATAAAAGTTTCTTCAATAGACATGTGCTCTACAACTAACCGTTGGTAACTCTCGATGCGTTCCATGGGAGAGAGTATTGGTAGCGGTTGAGGTAATGCCTGCGTCATCATCTCCAGACGTTTCACTGCCATTACTAATTCCGGGCGGTCGGCCATTATTTGGGTTTCCGCCGAAACCTACTCCCGTGCTAGGTGTGAACACCATACCATTCGCTAATAAATCTTGTTGTGAGAGAGGTTTCGGTAAATCTATGAGAGAGCATAACCCAAATACAAAAAAGTGTATTGAAAGTTCATTTTCCCGTTTGTGTCAATTTATATCAATTTACCTAATGTGCGGAATACTATCTGACGACTGCGATACTTTTTGCCCATCCAAATTGCTGTTACGGTTATTGAGTACTGAGTGCCAGGCGATAATCGATCCAGTACAATAGCTTCGCTGTTGCCGGCCACGTCCTGCATAACCCTGTAACTTAAATTAATTCAATTACCACTCTATGTTGTTTACTAACTAGATAAGCATAAGCGTATTATTATGAGTCTTCGGCCGTACGGCGTACGTGAAAAGTTTGTGTATGTATATCTATTATATATGCCGCCTTTAACAGGTGAACAGCACAAATCTTAATCGAATGAATACCACCGTAGCAGTGTCGGTGTTTCGACATCAAGCGGTCGGGACTCAGCGCTCAGAATATTGAATGTAATAAAATAGCAAGAACATCATATACCGTCTTTAATTATATTATATTTTATAATTATATGATAATATTTCAACTCAAGTTTAAAGTCTACACACATTTTTAGGACAAGGAGGTATTAAGTTTGTAAGGATGTATACAACATGCAGAGGACTTGAGGTATATGCCTTATAATATTATATCGACCGATTCAAAGTCACTTTCTGAAACGATTTAAGCTTGTTTGTCTCTCTGTACGTCTGTCTCCCTGTCCACCCGTTCATCTTGTGGTCTTGTGTTCAACCTACGAGTTGCAATTTTCGGGGTATTTTGACGAAATTTGATATACTGGCCCAAGAAAGGACGCTTTTGAAACTGGCTCAGATCGGACCGCTTTTTCGAACACTCCCAATATACACATTGATGAACAGTTGCATTAAGCGATATGGTGTAGAACATTGATTCAGAAAGTGATTCTGGTGTGGACCTAAGCTTCTTTGTCCCTCTGTTCGTCTTGATTTTTTGTGCTCAATCGACAATCCGCAATTTTTAAGATATTGTAATGAGTTGGGGAACATTGACATGTTTTGGTCCGCGGTCGAACGCCGCTGAAAATGGTTCAGAACGGATCACTTTTTGGCGACTTCCGGCATAACTATATACCTGCATCATTGCATTGGTATTTCGATTGGTAGATTTTGTATCATTTCTTTTCTAATGGGAGTTGTTCCACCTTTTTTACTTCAATTAAAGAAACTCTAAAAAGTGGATGTAGTTTAACGTATACTTTATAATAAACGTATTTTTTTGATCTTCTTCCGTACCATTTACGAGATGATGGCAGAGTGCATATCAAGTGAAATAAACTGAATTCCTTATAGTTCTGCCTGAGATAAGGTAACAATAGTTGTATCGCATTCGCCTGACATAACGTCCACGTGAAAAGACAAAGCATGTTTTTAAATTAACACAAAAGAAGTCATCGACCTGCGTTTGTGTCCTCCTTCTGTATCTACTTAACTGAGATATCGTTTACACGGAATTAAGTAAACAAACGTGTAACAAACTTGTGAAAGACTTGCCTCGTTAAGTAACACTCGCATTATTCTACTACGAAAGTATGAACAGCATAACGTCACCATTGAAATCAGTTTACGAGGTATTAGCTAACAAGACGCACACAACATTTTTCTATGTATTTTGTGGTTTCAGGGAAGTAATCCAGTTAGTTAACTCAGCGAGTGCTTAATAGAGACCAAGAAGTTGTCAGGAGTTACATTTTAGTTGTTTGAAGTATGAATACTGAGGTCGTTAAGATTTAAGGTAAAAAATACAAAACACTAAAAAAACGCTTTTTTGAAAAATCTATAAATAGCGCTCGAAAGAAGAAGTTTCACCAGTAAAAATATGGTTTGCGTAGAGCGAATTGTTTCGAATGCGATTTTTATGCCCTACATCACATACGGTACAGGACCCGGAAGTATTTGAAATAGATCCATTTTTTGTTATAGCGATCGATTTCGAATCCTCTAAGCTTGTCTGTCTGCCTGTCTATGTTTCTTTTGTTCAGCCTACACAGATCGCAGCCATCTTTAGGCTCAAGGATGAACGCTATTAAAAATGGCTCGGGTCAGACCACTTTTTCGGCCACTCCCAACACGGCCCCTTATTTTGACAAGTTGTTATTTGAAAAAAAATTCCATTTTCGAGAATTTCCTGAGAAAAACCTCTGAGCAATAGTATTGAGGCGCTCTACATTGATGTGAAAAATTTGGATCGAATGTGGCTATTTTTTGAATCCTCTAACCTAATTTTCCATATTTCTTTTTGAAAATGCGTGCATAATAATAAGTTGACACAAACAATAATCTTGCCGAATTTGAACAACGTAGATCTACATTCTGGATCCAATCTCACAAAAAGGTTTTAATGAAAAATAATCCTTTACATGGCAAAAATGCCCAATTTTTGGTCAAGAAGTCTCATACTTACCATACAAAGAGACTCCCACGACAAGAAAACACTTCTATGGCAACAAAGTCTAACTTGTAGTGTTTTATGATGGACAAAAGTGGAAGTTGCTAAGACCTTTGACATGTTAATTGACAACATAAAGATGCTGAAAACTAAATCTTCGCATAAAAATCGTGTGCAATTTTTAATGTATTACCATGAAAATGAATGAATGTCTGTATTAAGCGAAGTGTTGTAAGATGTCTAATAGTTGGCCTTTCCCGATTATCGCTATCTTAGATGCTTCGATAAAAGAAAAGCTTAGGGTGTCAACAAGTGTATTGTACGAATCTGTTCACAGTTGTAGATTGGAGCAAAAGGCTTCGTTTTAGGATCCACTGGTGTGTCGCAATTGTAAGGCGAAGGCGAGTTCTTGCATACGTTTTGATTCCGATTTTGTCGATATTTTTTGCATATAATGGAGGAACTAGGAGCAGAAAGTAATTTGGAAAAATATCTTAATATGAATTAATTTTTTCCAACATAACGTAACAGATGCGGAAAAATTATTGCGGGACTCATCATGTGTAATTTTTTTAATCAAATTTTTCTTTCATTCAAAATGAATTTTATTTACCCATATATAACTGCTAATATTACCTACGAACTTGTGCTACCTTGTGGTAAACGTAATCTTAATAACCTTGCTCTACTTAACTTACATCAACAAGAACTAAAACCAAAAAAGAAAAAATAAGTAAAAATACGTAAAATTGAACAAGAATTTCAATTAAACGTCAAAATTAAATCTTACAAACACAAAGAAAATTTTAAATTGAAACCTGGACTACTACTACATAAAAATGTAGAAAAGAGGTGAACAATTTATAGAGAAATACAACAGTTGTTCCAGTCCTGTATTCAGTAATCAGCAACAATTGAAGACAAAGTCCTGTTGTTCTTCTTTTTCTTTTAATCTAAGCGTAATATTTCAATGTTAAGTATATAATTATTTAATCGTTTGAATGCTAACTATGCCAACGTTTAATTATCGAATCGAATAAAAAAATCGAGGAAAAAATGATATAATACGCATTCTAAAAATTAAAATTAAGAAGAAAATGCACTACCAACAAGTTCGGCGTCAAGCAAAATCACAATGGAATATCGAAATGGGGGAACTATCTGATAGGGTAGTGATTTCCCACTACTCTTAAAAGAGCTTTCTCGTGAAACCCCGAAAACCTAATTCGTAAATTAAATGAACAGATAAGTCTTTGCGTACATACTAACGCTTAAAGGATATAGCAAGTTACGACACCCTAACCGCACGAAAATCGTCGAAAATGTTGATATATACCTCAGCTATATATGCGCTAGTTCTTAAGCTACGTGTAATTACGGTTTCCTTCTCTTAAACGAATTTAAATCTATGGATAATTTTAGGAACGAAACACTAGCCTAGTCTTCGATATCCTATAATCTAAATAATAGACGAGGCCGATTTTTTTCCATTTTTGTACAGACGCTTTAAAATATACATGAGAATCTCTATCGGTATATACTTTGTAGTTCATGAGTAATTAGAAAAAAATCCAATTATTCCACTTTTGAAAATAAAGCTGTTCTCAGCTTTTTGCCTAATATTACTACCCATGTGCCGCCAATAACTTGCAATGGTTCTGCAAAATTTGAAAATGCTTCGTCATTGCGACTAGAAAGGTGATATAACACAGATGAGTGAAAAGTAAATGGACAGATAGACAGATGAATCTTGATGCTGATCAAAAATTTATACTTTTATATGGTAGCCGATGTCTATTCTTTGTGGTTGTCGGTATAAATAAATAAAATATACAAACTAATAAATGTCTATGTGTGTGATGATAAGGTTAGGGCGCCTTGAATACGGACATAACTCTAAAAGGGTTGTATCTCAATCAATAATCCATCAGGCTGCCAAAACTATGGCCTTCTTGTACTTTTCATGGGAATCCTTGATATGCGAAACGTTCCGAAAAATAAACTAATGCGGTACAAAGCTATTATAGCACAATTATATGTTAAGTCAGTATTATGGATCAATTTTTGTCATAGAAACTTAGAAATCATATCTCATTGATCTAGGAACGCCCCTTTTTTTGTAACAATATTTATAGGTGAGCAGTTCACGTAATGATCCCGTCCTATTTAAATTTTCGTAATGCATTTCTATATATATGTATATATAGTATGCCAATAAATTGCTTCTCATTGATCTTATTTGAAAATTACCATAAATTGCAATTATTTTTAGGTGGGGGGTTATATGGGGGGCAGCAGTAATAGCGGTGCGATAATTCAGTTTCATTAGTGTTCGTCTTTGGGCCAAAGCTTGAACCTCATCAGAACACCCCAAAAATTGCGATTATTATATAGGACCGTAAAAATATATTTTTGAATATGATCAATCATTCGAGCGATGCCCCCTGTACGTGCGACATGCTGACGGCCAGGAAGAAGAGAAGAAATAGAAAGAGACAGGGCGGTGGTTTACCGCGGCCCAGTGGTAAGTATTATGCCTTTAGTGAGTAAGCAGTCATTACAACTGCGACCAAAGGATAGTTTACTGCACTGAGATTTGCACCCACGAATACTGACTTGAGAGTCGCGGCTCTTATCTACTCGGCTACTCAGGCGAACATTGACATATATTGACGGGAAATACGGACACGCAGCTTAAATCGGTTGAGAATCGTTTTCTACTACAATCAAATCGCGCCTCTTTGTGGGGGTGCACAAAAGTAACGTACGGTCGCCTCTAGTTAGTGTAGTAGGGAATAAAAAGCAATATTTTGAG